CGCCGGGTGCCTGCCCGACCCCTCCGCCCCAAGCCCCGCCCACTGCACCCTTCTCATCCGGTCTGGAATTTAGCAGTCGGGACCAGGACTAGTTCCAATTATTGTTGTTTTGTGGGTTTTGCTTTTGGAGACAGGGACTCTCGACATAGCCCTGACTGTCCTGAAACTCACTATGTAGACCAGGATGGCCTGGAACTTACAGATCTTCCTGCCTCTGCTGGAATTAAAGGCCCGAGTCTATTATAATTTTAAACAGCCATATTAGTAACTTGATGTTTTCATAAAATCTACAGTGTAAACTACAACCCATTTTGTACCTTAGCGGAACTGTGCAGTTATCATCACAACCTTGGACTGTTCATCACCCCAAAGAAAATTTCTGAGAAACAGTCCTGAACCCGGGAGCATCGCTCCACCCACCCCAGTCCTAGGCTATGACCAGAGTACTGTTTGTCTCTATGGTTATCTAATTTGCCTTCTATATAAACGGAATCAAACAGTATGTGACTAGCTTCTTTGGCCAGGGATTTGTAAGGCTTGTTGTTGGGACTTCAGAGGATTGTATTCCTTTATTGCAAAAAAAAAAAAAAAAAAAACAAAAACAAAACATGACTGTATTGAATCCTATTGCATATGTTTATTTTTCTGATGATCAGGACCTTCCTATTTTCCAAAGTACTCCGACAGCTGCCCATCAGTTTCGCTGTCTTTGTGCCAGTCCATGGCCTTCATTACTATAGAGATGTCTTTGGCTTGGCCTTTTGAGACAGTGTCTTGCGATTCGGGGCCAGGCTGGCCCCGAATTCAAGGTCCTCCTGCTTGTGTGTCCCCAGACATTGACTGGGATCACAAGAGTGTGCTACCGCATCGGGCTTTCACTAATTTCCCTTGTTTTTCAGGTTAATTTAGGCACTATTAGCATTATTTTTTTTTTTGTCTTATTTTTATTTCATTTCAGGACAGGGTCTCATTATGTAGCTGTGGCTGGACAGGAATTTGTTATGTAGGTCAGCTGGCTTCAAATTCACAGGGATGGGGTTGCCTCTGCTGGGACTAAAGATGTGTGCCTCCACCCCTGCTGAATAGTACCATCTTAAGATACTGGCTTCTGATGCATGAACTCGGAATGTCTTCCTTTTCTTTAGTGTGTATCTTAAGCTTAATTAACACAGTCCTGTTGTATTTCTGTGCTTTTGCAAATGGAAATGGGTTTTAATTCCTCTTTGAGATTGTTGATTACTAATGTACACAAATACAAGTGATTGTATAGGTGTTGGTCTTGAATCTTTCAACCCTGTGTAAGTTGTTTATTTTCTAATTTATTTTGTGGATTCCTTACAGTTTTCTGTTAAGATCATGCCTTTGGGTTTTGTTTGATTTTTGCCCTGAGGATTGAACCCAGAGCCTGGTACTTGCTAGACAAGAGATTTCCCACCAAGCTGCTTCCTCTGCCTCTGTGTCCTGGTAATGGGGATAGTTGTACAGCTCTCTTTCCAACCCGTATACCTTTTATTTCATTTTCTTGTCCAATTGTGTGGTATAAAACTTCTACCACAGGCTGGGTGTCGGTGGTGCACGCCTTTAATCCCAGCACCCGGGAGGCAGAGGCAGGGGGGTCTCTGTTAGTTCGAGGCCAGCCTGGTCTACAGAGTGAGTGCCAGGATAGGCTCCAAATCTATACAGAGAAACCCTGTCTCGAAAAAACAAAACAAAAAACCAAAAACCAACAACAACAACAGCGCGCGCGCGCACACACACACCACACACACATACACACACACACACACACACAAACCCTGTAGCACAACGTTGGCTAGAAACGTAGACATCCATGTTTTGTCCCTGATTTCAAGATGAAATCGTTTATCTGGCCTTACTGACTATCTTTACTATGGATTTTAAAACAACTCTTTATATGGTTGAAGAAGATACTTTCTATTCCTAGTGTGTTGAGTAACCAAGAAACAGTATTTGTCAAAAGTTCCATGTGTCTGCTGTGGGTTTGTCCTTTATTCTATTAATAATGTGTGGAGATATACAGGTGGATTGGCAGAGGTTAAAATAACTCTGAGGGCTGAGGATGTAGTTCCATTAGAATTAGCAGAATGCTCACTTATCATCAACAAAGCCTTAGATTTGCTCCCCAGTGTCACACAAACCAGGCACACACCTGTAACCCCAACATGGCAGACGTGGAGATAGGAGAGTCAGAAGTTCAATGTCATCCTTAGCCACACAGGAAGTTCAAAGTCAGCCTGTGATACATGAAACTCTTTCTAAAACAAACAAGCCAAAAAGAATAAATAAAATGGTGTTTAACATAAAATGACTTTGAATTCTGGGGGTGACTTCCATTTAGTCCTGAAAATGTCATTCTCTTCCATTTTTGGTGTGTGTGTGTGTGTGTGTGGTGTGTGGTGGGGGACTCTGGGATGGTGCCCAGGCCCTCCCAGTATAAGTAAGCTGCACCTCCAGTCTCTGGAGCCTTATCCTTTGTGTACACTGATGTTCTGTAGAGGACTCCTCTGTGTGTTTTTGATAGATACAGGGTTGTGGTTTTCTTGTGGTGTTAATGCGGATGTTGTTCTTGTGCTGTCTTTTCTCCCTGTCTTTCTTTTTTTTTCAGAGGAGAAACGATGTCAGTTCATTATGCATGGCCAGGAGTGTAGTTTAGTGGTAATGCACACATATGGTGTGCTAGGACCCGGGCTCAATTCCCGCTTTTCCTCTGTCCCATTGTTTTTTCCTGTGCACATTCACTGACTCTCAGACAGTGTGTCTAGGAGCAGGTGTGCATATTTGTTTTTTTATAATGCAAAGGGTTCTGCCTTCCGCAGGATTTTTTACTTTGTTTTGGCACATTGCTCATCTTGGAATTTTGGGCATTTAATGTAATCGATTTGAAGCACAAGGGATCACATCAGGGATTCCTTTCATTGATGACACTGTTTGATGCTCTTTGAAGGCAGTCAGAATATACTGGTCTCATCTGTGACCTCTTCACTCCCTTCCACAAGCCTCCTGCACCGGGTTACAAAACCGAAGCAGAAACCAGGGGTGCCATGCAGAGGTCCCTGCTGAAGCTCCAGGCTCGCTTAGCTGTTAGGACACCAATAGAGAGACCGAGAGACTGGATGTTCTGTTTTTGCAGAACCTTATCTTTCCACTGCTTTTAGGAATGGTCAGCTGATACCTTGGCTGATCCTCTGCCTGAGCAAGTGTCCACAGCCTGTGACTGGGTGTCCTTGCCAGGTGTCAGTGTTGGTTTGTTTGTTCACTTGCTGTCCTTGCCTGATCAGCACTGGGGCTGCTCGGACTTGAAGCTGGGAGCCTTCAAGCTGGGCTCATTCCATGGGAGCAGCTTTTAATGTGTTTCTTTGGGGAGCTTTGTATGCCTCCCATGTCTGCATCTAAGTGGAAATGGGGGTAATGACGTGGTTATTGTAGGTGAAGCAGTTGGTGTAGGCGTCATATATACTATACACTTGACAACGGTGAACTCTCATGAAACTAACTGCTCGTATTATTCTGAAATTGCCTCTTCCATTAAACATCTGTCTTTGAGACCTTTCAAGTTCTACCATTTTATTCTCTTTTTTTGTTAGTTTTGTCATTTTAATAGCTGTGTAGTCTTCCTTGATTTGAAATAATGCTTTCTTCCAAAACTATTGCTTGTCTTGTCTCAACTTCCTTGTTAACACAGCTGTGGCATCCAAACTGTCTTTTCTAACTGGCTTCTAGGTCCTCCTTAACCCCTTTCTCTATTCATTCAGTTATTAAGTTCTGGTCTCCTTTTAGGCTTTTTCTTTTTTCTTTTTTTTTCTACAGTTTTTCATTACAAGGTTTCTCTGTGTCCTGGAACTAACTCTGATCAGGCTGGCCTTGAACTCGCAGTGATCTACTTGCTTCTGCCTCCTGATTGCTGTGATTAAAGGCGTGTACCACCACTGCCTAGCTTTAAATGTGTTCTTAATCTTGACTCATAGGACCTTGGCCTATCCAGCCCTTCTCTGTTACTTAGACTACTGCAGGGTGAGTAGTGAGTGTCTGTTACTCATGGGATTGCCTGTGGCCAATATTGAGCAGGCTCCAATCCTGTCGGCCCACCTGTTTCCCAGTTACTAAGTCTGCAAGCACAACTGTGCATGTACAACCTCTGGATGTTTCGTGGTGGCTTATGACAACCTAGCGTTGGGTTCTGGCTAATATAAAGTTGATTGCTATGGGCAACTCATGAGAGAGGAGAGGCTGTGCTGCAAGGGACTTCCTGTGGAGAATCCAGTACCCCAGGTTCAAGACCCAGGAAGGAAAACACTAGGGTTTTCTTGGTTTGTTTGTTTTTTAATTTTATTATTATTAATTTTTTGTGATTGTTTTAAATTTATTTTTATGTGTATGCCTGCAGTGTACCACATTCATGCACTGCCCTCAGAATTCAGAGATAGGAAGGTGTGGACCCCCTGGAACTGGAGTTACAAACAGTTTTAGTTTTGTAAGCCACCATGTAGGTGCTGGGAATTGAACCCAGGTCCTCCGGAAGTGTAGCCAGTACTCTTACCTACTGATCCAGATCTTAAACAAGAACTTTTCCAGTGCTTCATCCAGGAAGCTACTTCTGAGGAGTTCAGATCTCACCCAGAGAGTTTCTGTATCCAAGACGCTGACAGAAGCTATGTTCTTCCTGTCCTTCCTGGAGTTGATAGCTGGGTAAGGGGGCTGTCTGGCCATCTAGTCAAGACCACAAGGCTTGTTCCTCAGTGTACAAATTACCCTCTGTTGGTGGTGGTATGTTTGTCTGATTTTTGAGATAGAGTCTCAGACTGTAGCTAAGGCTGGCTCAGACTTGCAGCGGTCCCCAGCCTCCTGAGTGCTGGGATTATTGACATGAGCAAGCACACTTAGCATAAGTGATCCTTCATGCTCATTTTAAACTCCCAATGCCCCCATTGCTTGTGGGTCTAACCTAGTTCTTCTTCCCCCTTCTCCCCAGCCCTTGGTTTTATCTTTTAAAAAAAATCTTACTTTATTTTATTTTGAGGTAGGGTCTCCTCTAAGTTGTCCATGCTGGCAGTCTTGATTCAGTCTCTTAAGTAGTTTGGATTATATGCCTGAGCCACGAGGCCTGACTTAAGATGGTTATTTTTTCTATTCTTTTCCTAAAAACAAGCAAAAACTTAAAATAAAAAGTTAGTATACAAAGTAGCAGATTTCATCATAGCCTTTTCAGAGCTGTCACTGCACTGAGGGTCCCGTCCCTGCCCCCTCTCCATCAGATTGGCTCTCTTTGAGTCCATGCTTTGGATACTGGCCATGGCCATGCCTTCCCAGCAGCTCTGGGTGGAGGTGATTCTTCCTAGAGTCCACCCCACTTTCTAGTCTCCTGTGTCTGAATTCACAGAGTTGACATAACAGGTTTGTGTTTGGATTGCCCCAGAGCTGTATAAAGGAAAGACCGGTGCAGGCTATGCAGGGAATATATGGTCACCTGATTCTCACTACCAGATAAATAACCAGAGAGTAACCTGGGATGTGTCCTTGCTCCCAACTGGTCTCTGTATTTCATACATATTTAGTATTTCATTTTTATAAAATCTGGATCAAGTGTTTCTGTTAACTGAAACTTGTTCACCACTATTGTGTCCTAGACATTTTCCCTTCTCATAAAGTACTTTTGCAGGTGTTGTACTTCAGACCTGTAGTCTCAGCACTTGGGAGGCTGAGGCAGGAGGATTGTTTGCAGGCCATCTTGGGCTACATAGTGAGTGCCAGAGCAGGCTGGGCTACAGTGTGAGATTTTTGTAAAAAAAAAAAAAAAAGGGAAGGAAGGAAAGAAATAACTAAAACCCCAGAAGCCACCAAAACCTAAAGACTAAAACCCTCAATATTCTTGTTGCCATCAAGTTCTTGTTCTACACAGTACCTCAGCAGTTCTCTGGTGATCAGATGTCCTGTGTCCTAACATTCAGCCTCCTTTCCCAGCTGAAACATATAACATACAACATGTATTTGTAATATATATTACTGTTGTTGCTACTGTTTGTTTTGAGACAGTCTTTCTGTTTAGCCCAGGCTGCCCTCCTATGTCAGCCTCCTGAGTTTTGGTATTACAGATGCTTACTATCATGCCTAGCTCCTGACTGACATTGGGATTGATTTTTCTCAGTAAAAGTGTCTTGCCTCACAGTTAAGGGAACTTGGTGCCCAAACACTGTGTCAAAGGAGAAGAGCAGAAATACCTTGCCTTAGGGGAAGAGAGTGGCTGGTTTTCTGGACTCCCAGAAAACTGCTGATACAGGTAATCTAGGGCAGCTCCTGTTACACAGAGCCTTCAGTGTGGAACTATTTTGCTTTTCCTTGCAGGCCTATGGAATCCCAGGCAGACACACCCAGCAGCGAGTCAGTGGAGAGCTGTACCTTGAACCTACCGACAGCATGTGACATCAGAGGTCATGAAGCATGCCAGGGAGCCAGCCAGGCGGCCAGCAGCAAGTCTCTGAGTTCTCTGGAATCCCATTCTTTCCCTTGTTCTTCGACTGCTGATACAGGTAATAAGCAGAGTTAAGTCAAACTAACGTAAAGAAAACAACAAGTGGCAGAGACAAAGGCATATGCTAGTTCTGCTTCTCCACCTACAAGGAATAAGTTGTTACCTTACCTAGAAAAACACCTTACCCAGCAACGCTGTGGAGAAGGGCTTCAAAGAAGGCCCCCAGAGTAACAGGGTGGTGCATAGAAACTGGGGATTTGGAGATGAATGATGTGGAAGTGAATGCCCAGGCCCTTCCCTCAGGGAGCTCAGAGTCTGGGGAGACTCAAACACAGTGTATCTAGACAATGAGGACCATCAAGGGATGCAGGTCTTTGTTATCCCTTCCTGGGCCCCTTTCTGATCTCTGTGCAAATGTGCTTGTAGGTACACTCGGTTTGACAAGGAGGGTGGAATTGTGCTTTGTTCTTTAAAAGACTTCGGAAAAAAGCAGTGTGAACTCCGTGTGCTGTCAGTAATGAGGATGTCAGTAATTGATGGAGAACAGCAGCGCAGACTACTGTGTGCTGTGGGTGATGAGGATGATGGAGAACAGCAGTGCGGCCTACTGTGTGCTGTGGGTGATGAGGATAATGGAGAACAGCAGTGAGGCCTACTGTGTGCTTGTGGTGGCACATGTGTGCACTTGAGGACAACTGGCAGGAGTCAGTTCTCTCCTTCCACTATGTGGATCCCAGGAATTGAACTCAGATCATCAGATTTTGAAACAGACACCTTTACCTTCTGAGCCATTTTACCAGCCCCTGGTCTCTGGATTTAAATGAAAACCTTTCTATAAGTTTTCCCGATTCGATTGCAGAAGTTGATATTTTAAGGCTAATGGTAATTATTGAGCTGGAAAGCCCAACTCTTGCCTATTAATTATGTAATCTATAGTCTACAAACCTGGATTCAAAGTTTAAATAAGCCAGTTGCTGGCCCGAACTTGTTAGTTAGACCAGGCTGACTTAGACTAACCTTGAACTCACAGAGACCCACCTATCCCTGCCTTCTAAGTTCTGGGATTAAAGGTGTGTGCCACCAGCCCTGGCTCCAGAAAGTCTCGTGTAGTGAAGGCTAGGCTTGAGCTTGCTCTGGGAAGGAGGCTAGGCTTGAACTTCTGGTCCTTCTCACTCCACCTCTGAGTGCTGGCATTATAGGCACATGCTACCATGTCTAGCCTCCTGTACTTCCCATGCAAGAACCTATTTTTTATGTTCACATGTTTAGCTCATTTCCCCTCCTATCATTGCCTGTGTGTAGGTAGCTGTAGTTGTGACTTTTCACGAGGTAGCCCTTCAGCAGATTCCTGCCAACAGTTTCACTCTGCTCTGACAATTCTGGACCACTGTCTGCTCAGTTCCAGGCTTGCTTTGCTTTGATCTCCAGTGCTATCCTCACAGCTGCTGTTCTAGCCCAGATTCTTAACACCTCCAGTTCCTAAGCCAACCAGGCTTAGGTTTGTGTGTTCTGTATGGTTGAGAACTTTCTCTTCTGAGGAGTATCCCAGCTGGACAGTTACTGGGTTAGCTCTGCAGTGGCCTATGGTACCAGTACATACTCGGTAAGGAATGCTTGGCTCTATTCAGGTGGCTTGTGCTTGGCTCCAAATAGAGTCAGCATGAAGAGCTGGCAGGGTGTGGTGGGGGTTTGGGATGGAGGTTTGAGAGTGAACTTAGTAGCTGGCTTCCTAGCTATTAAATTAGATAGGATCCAGGAGCTGACTATGAGTCTGGTCAGGGACTGAGGGCTCAGTGGTATGTCACTTGCCTGCCATGCTCAAGGCCCCAAGTTCAGTCCAGAAAATGAAAAAAGATCCATTCAAATTCCATCTAACTCACCCTTTGTTGTCCCGCGCGATCGTCTCGCCAGCAAGAACAACACAGGACACTTGGATCCTTCTGCAGTAAAGCTTTAATGTGTCTTGAGAGAGAGAACATAAGCTTACAGAGCGGAGACCCCGAACTCCCAAGAACCCATCCCTTATAAAGGCTGGCAACCGCCGCCTCGGACGTGTCACCCCATGATTGGCTGCAGCTCATCGAACCATATGATGCCATGGGAGTGGCAGAGACCAAGGGATGGAAAGTTACCCAGCACCTGCGCATTAACTTGTTTACATTCGGTGCCTGCCGGATGCAGGTGCCATCTTATAATGGAGAATGCAGGGACGGCTCCCTACACTTTGTCAGCATCTCTAGTGGAATCCAGGCCTGACTTGGCAAAAGAGTAGAGGATCAGTAATGAAATAGGGCATCTCCAGGCAGGGGCATACACCTGCAACAGGTAAGTAAGCCAGTGGGCATTCCTTGAAGCCCGGACATGAGATAGGCAGAGCACAGGTGACTTATCCAAGGTGAGGTCACAGTTCTCACCACTGGAGGAGTGGTAGGCCAGAGAAGACTGGCTTCAGGGTTTCTGTTGTGTTTTGTTTGCTTGTTCATTTGAGACAAGGTCATAGCACAGGCTAGCGTGGAACGTCACAGGAACAACTTGCGATGGGACTGGCACCTCTGCCACTTCCTGTTTCACAACCTGCTGATGGGTCATGACCCTGGTTGATGGTGAAACTTCTGCTTTCAAACCTAGATGGATATTTGGCACTGCACATCTCTGAACAGCTATTTGAAAAGTAAAGCTAATAATCTTTAATTTTAGACAAAGCCTCCTTCTATACAGTTCTCTGAGACCTACCATCAAAACCATCTATGTGCAAAACCACTGTTTTGCTTGTAGTCCCACAAAATCTGCACTCTCCTTTGACATGAATTCATTTCATAAGAATTCTCCATTGGCCATCCTGAAACACTGAGGTGTTTTCAGTGATTTTGGAGGCTGGAAGCTGTGTTTCCCCTGGAGTTGTAGTTCCAGCTTCTGTCCACCCTTTCTCTGTTCCCACCAAATTCTGCTAAACATCAAGGAGAAGCAAAGCTGCTGGGTGATGGGGGTTGTGATGGTCCACAAATAAAGTAAGGCCAGGTAGACATCCCTGATCCTGGACCATGGCTCTTCTATCTAACGGGTCTGCTGCTAAATCCCAAGCTAATAGATTACCAATGGTGCATTGGGATCTTCATTCTGGTAGCAGACATGAATTCATCTTCTATGCCATTTACATGAATCAGATCTTAAATTTCTCTGGAGCTCCAGGTGTCCCGAGCCCTCCCATAGTGGAGAGTGGACCCAAGTTGTTACCTCTCCAAACCCCCCTGATACGGGGACCCACAGAGCCAAGATCCTGGCCTTTCCACCTCTTCATCTCTTGATTGTTCCTCTTCCTTGGGCATATGCCCATCCCCCAAATACCCATGGGATAAAGCCTACTCTGCCACAGATGCCCATGGTTATGTCTAGGAGCCAAACTGATGGAGCCTTCTTGCCCTCACTGGCTGTGTCTATTCGAACACCACTGTTCATACCCTGGAGGAGACTATTAGAGGCAAGAGGCACCAGTCTGTAGTGCATTTTCCAAGAAACTGGGTTATAAGAATCCCAGGAATAAGCCAGAAAAACCTCAAAAGTTTCTTTTGTTCCAGTCTGGTCTACAAAGGCAGGATAGGCAGGGCTATTGGCTGCCTTAATAGCCGTGTGTCTGTACTGAGGTTACCAGTTAGCCACCTCTCAGGAAGTGCTGTTGAAATAAACAACCTTTGCCTCCCACAGGCATAGGGTCATGAAACTCCTCCCCATGCCTGTCCCAGTAGATAAGGCAGAAGACTCAGCTGCTGCCAAGGTCTTCCTGGGACACATTTCCATCCTAGTGTGTGAATCTCTCTGAGATTGTCCTTCCTCTCCTTAGGCAGCAGCCCCAAGCTCTCCTGCAATTTGGTAGCTGTGTTATTTGTTACAAACAACCAATACAGCAGCAGTGCAAGGCTGTGGGCTGCAAGGCTGTACAGGCTCATAGCCACTGAACACAGACCTCTGGGACTACTCATCATATGATCCTGGACTCCTGATTTTAGGCTGACCCAAGCCTTAGAGCCTTAGCTGCCCAATTCCCTCTTCAGATGGCCTCCTCCTTGATCAACTCCAATTCACTCCATGGGCTGTGGAATGGGACCCACCCATTGCCTGACTTTAGATGAGGCAATGGACTCAAGCTCCTTATCTGTTACATACTCGTTGTCCTGGCTGCAGGACTAAAGAGAAACACAAGTATGCAGAAGCCAAGAGCCATATTAAGCGATGAACTGTCTTCATTAAGCATCTCAAAGGCAAGGTCACAAGGTTTCTTAGGGCACAGTCCTCTGTTCTGTTGTGGCTTGATAACCAGGTAGGTCCTGTAGCATATCTTCCCATGGCCCACGGAACCTTTGTCCTGCAGATACCAGCAGTGCATTCTATCACAGAGCAGAGGGGTTTTCTGCAGTTGTTTAGACGTGGCAAGATGGGTGGAGGAGATCTTGGTGATTTCCTCAGACTAGAACTTTTGTCTGAGAACAGTGCTGGGAACTGGACTGCACACAGCAAGCCTGAGTGTTAAGCACAATAAGGCTTTGATGATTAAAGGCGCTTGCTGGCAGGTGGCTGTAAACTTTAACAGTGCTTTAATGTCCCTTGGGGGAGTCTGTCAACATCCCAGTCTTCAAAGGTAGCCAGATAATTTAATATTTAAGAATAGGTAAATATTCTTTATCCTGTTTATAATTCACATGGTATCTCTTTGTAACTCTATAAAACTCTGTTCCCATAATGAAACAATCAAAAGCCCTTACAGCCAGTATGTCAGAGAAGTTACATAACAATTGTAAACTGCTAGATTTGGGGCTGGGGAGATGGTTCAGTGGGAAAGAACTTGCTGAGCAAGCTTGAAGGCCTGTGTTCTCAGGTGCACAGCATGGGTGTGGTGGCTGAGGGGGGCCAAGATAGGCAGATCCTGGGGCCTTACTTGTCAACCAGAGTACCCACGGTGGTGAGCCCCCGGTTCAGACTGGCAAGATAAAATGGGAGGGGCTGGAGAGAGGGGTCAGGGGTTGAGCATACAGCCGAGTTCTATTCCCAGCACCCATGTCAGTT